TTCCCTCTGGGCCGGAGGCAAATCCCCTCCCTGTCCTTCTTCCTTCCTCTCCTTGTTCCTTTTCCTTGTGCCTCCCTCTCCTTCCTCCTTATGTTTTTTCCTTTCTCTCCTTCTTCCTTCTCCTTCTTTTCTCTCCTTTTTCTTTGTGTTCCGTCTTCTCCTTCCTTTTCATCATTCCTTGTCTCCTTGCTCCTTCCTTCTCTCAGGACCAGCGTGACCAACAGGACCAGGGCAGTGGTTCTTCCCCTGTACTTGGCACTGGTGAGGCCACACCTTGAGTGCTGTGTCCAGTTCTGAGCCTTCTCCTTCCTTCCTTCTCCTTCCTTCCTTCTTCTTCCTTCCTTCCTCTTCTTGTTGCTTTTTCTTCTTGTTCTTTCCCTTCATATTCCTTCCTCCCCTTCTTCCTTCTCTACCTTCCTTCCTCTCTGCCTTCCTTCTCCTCCCCCTTCCCTCTGGGCCGGAGGCAAATCCCCTCCCTGTCCTTCCTTCCTGCCCCAGGCCCCGAGCTGAGGACGGAGAGCACGGAGGACAAATCCCCCCGGCAGACCCTGGTGGGAGAGGCCGTTTTGAACGGCTCCACGGTGCAGGAAGGCAGCGGGGAGGAAAAGCCCCGGAGATCCCCCCGGAGGAGGGGCTCCAAAGCCAGCCCGGGGTGCTCTGAGGAGGAAAGAGGCAGCCTGTGCCAGGAAGGCGGCCGGAGCTTGAGCCGGAGCTCCGAGCTGGTGGTGCAGGAGCGCGTCAGTGCCGTGGAGAAGCCCTACAAGTGCCCCAGCTGTGGGAAGAGCTTCTGCAGCAGCTCCAACCTCCTCGCTCACCAGCGTGTCCACACTGGGGAACAGCCCTACGAGTGTGAGGAATGTGGGAAGACCTTCAAGTTTGGCTCCAACCTCCTCATCCACCGCCGGGTGCACATTGGGGAACGGCCCTACAAGTGTGAGGAATGCGGGAAGGGCTTCACCGTCAGCTACCGCCTGATCCGCCACCAGCAGATCCACACTGGGGAACAGTGGCCCCGGCCCTACAAATGTGGGGAATGCAAGAAAAGCTTCAGATACAGTTCTGAACTCGTCACCCACCAGCGCGTGCACACGGGGGAGAAGCCCTACGAGTGTGGGGAATGTGGGAAGAGGTCTCGGAGCAGCTCGGATCTCCTCAAGCACCAGCAGACGCACACGGATGAGAGGCCCTTCCACTGCACCGACTGCGGGAAGGGCTTCAAATGCAACTCCACCCTCGTCAACCACCGGCGCATCCACACCGGGGAGAGGCCCTACAAGTGTGGGGAGTGTGGGAAGAGCTTCACCTGGAGCTCTACCTTGACCAAACACCAACGGACCCACCAGTAAGGGAAGCTCTGCGAGTGCCCCGACTGCGGGAAGAGCTTCATCTGCTGCTCCAACTCCATCAGCTGTCAGAGGATCCACTTTGGGAACAGGCTTGGTGACCCACATTCCCAGTGACCCACACTGGGAACAGGCTTGGTGACCCACATTCCCGGTGACCCACGTTGGGAAGCCCCCTGGCTG